GGAACCCGAGGGTTATGGGCTGAATTTCACCTGGGAGCACTGCGGTTAAACCGCCACCACTGCCGCACGTGGGAACAGCATCTCGGGGGCTCCCGGTCACGCTACAACCAACCTACATAGATCTGTCGTGCTCAGAAAGAAAACCCCTCTAGGCTTTGCTAGGTTTGGGGTGTTTTTGTTTAATACAGAGGATTTCCTTTTCACTATGACCTATAAATGCTCTTTTTCCCCCCGCTCTAAACGAGAGAAAGCAGATTGCAGGTTATTGGTGCCCTTGCCTGAGAAGCTGGAGCTCTCAGTCCCCCAACTGAGCTTTTCTCTGGGGTTGGGGGTCTCTGTAGGGCAGTTCCAAGTCCCGGAGCCAGGTGCTGAGTCCCCTGAGCAGGCAGCCCCAGGGCTGTCAGAGCCAGCCCATCCTGGAATCCGGGCAGGTTTCAGCCAGCTCCGTTTTCCAGAAGGAAAACCGAAGAGGTGTGTTGTGAAATGAACAGCCCGGCCCGACATCTCTCCCCACCGAATGAAGTGGAGCAGCTTTGGATTTCATAAAGCACTGGAATGCCCATGGTCATTTTACGTAGATATCAACGCTACCAGCTGGTAATGTGTAATTACACCTTTTAATTAACCGGGTTTGGCCTGCCACCGGTGTCCAAGCAGTCCCTCCCCAGGAATGAGAGTCCTGCTTAAACACGTGGCCCAGCCGCCTCCTGTATGGGATCACTCAGGAGAAGTTGCAGGCTGAGCCCATCCCAGATGGCTTTAGGAGGGAGCAGTCGGGTCTCTTCCTTCCCCACAACTCTGTCTGACACAACATTCCATGTAAAGAGGAAATTTGTAATTTTATAAATGTATTTTTATACCGCTTTTTTTATGTGCGCACGTGAAACAGGCCAACGTCCTCCTCCTCCCGCTGTAGGAGCCTCTCCCTGCGCGCTGACAGCGCGGCCGAGACCGCCGTTCTGCTCTTCCTCTTCCACCCGTAGCCCCGCGGTAAGGTCACAGCTGCCGGTCTCTCCGGCCGTAGCCCCACGCGGAAGCAAAGCCGCACAGTCGAGCGGGCGTGTTTCTTCCCAGCTGTACTAATAAAAACTTGCAATCATTTTCCAAGTAACTTCTCTGTTGAAAACGTGTTTTTATCTTTGGAGAGACTCAGCGACACCACGGAGGTGTGAACTCCACCAGCTTTAGCGATAATGCCTAAAAATAGCCTTAAAAAAGGGATTTCTGTGCCCTTACCTGGCTGTTTAAGCAGCCCTGTCAGCGCTATGACACTGGGGGGGTTCGGGCACTACCCCCACTGCACAACCTTTAGTTCCTCCTGCACGTATGCTTCCAGTTCAGGGTATCGCCATGCATGCCGCTGCCAGCAGCTACCCCGGACTGAAAACTCCGAAAAACGAACGCGGCGATCCCATTCCTCCCAACACACGGTGTTCTGTGGCTTTCCTCAGGAATGCAACCAGTTTGACCTAAGCATCTCCTTTTAACCGGCAGCGTTTCAGCGACACCTTCACACGCTGAAATCAAAACAATAAGCACAAAGAAACTTCAAACGGCTCCAATTTGCCGTTTCCCTGCAGCCGACAGTTACGGTATCCAGGACCGGCAGCGGAGCCGGGATTGGCGGGAGCGGCGGGTGCTCCGCTGATGCTCGGCCCCGCGCTGCAGCCAGCGGGGGCTGGGGGAACAGCACGGCTTGGGCGAAACGTCAGCCCCGCGCTGCAGCCAGTGGGAGCTGGGGGAACAGCACGGCTTGGGCGAAACGTCCAGCTCAAACTGCGCCCCAGGTGCGGACCGAGCTCACCCTGCACGAAGCTCGCTCAGTCGCGGCTGCGGCTGGCTGCCACCTGCAAGTCTTTGGCACGGGGCTGGGTGCTACGGAGAAAACAATTTAAAAAAAGTCTGGGTTTTTTTCCTGTAAATCAAACATCGCGCATCAAAAAGTGAGTTAAAGCGGCTGCAGGTGTGGCTACAAAGCTTAGGGGAGCCGAAGGTGGTTGTTTTGGTTTGTATCACACTGACAGAAGCGTAAACGCGGCGCCTTCCTTCACGGCATCTGGAAGGCACCTGTGAGATGATCTTCAAAAAGCTTGTTTCCCCAGCGGCAAAACCAGGTCTCGCCGTGGCGGAGCGCAGCAGCAAGCAGGGGTCCTGCCACCTGCCCGGCCGAAAACATAAAGGGAACATTCAACCGCCAAGAAGCGAAGGGCGAGCGATTCGCTGGTGCCCTTCGTTTGGCACCGCTTTAGATACGGCCCATTAGCACCCTCGAGCTTTCATGAAGGGCTCACTACCCTCGTCCCCCCCTTAGTAAGCGACGGCCGGAGATCCAGCAGACAGCCCGTAGCTATTTCTGCGGCTTGGCCACACAAAAGGCAGCAACAGTCGGGGTTTCACGCAACGGGTAACTGTCGCTGGGACTGATTGCCAAAGTCCTCCAGGAGAACGCAACCCGCAGCGCACGAGTTGAAGCAACGCACCAAGAGAAAAATAAATAAAACACGTGTGCGCGCGTGTCACCGTGTACCGCTTCGGGGGGTACGGAAGCGCTTGTGATCTCAGCGCAGAGGAACGTTTAAGAGAACCTAAAATTTCAAGGCAACCCGCAGGGGCCTGGCGCTCCTGAGAGCCAGATGAAACCATCCTTCATCCGACTGAAGAGCCCACCCCGAAAGCCTGACGGCGCTGAGCGCAGCCGGGTGACCAGGCTTCTAAAAAGCCGCGTAATAGCAGTGTCAGGTGTCCCGGAGGCCTCACGCAGCTGGGCCCAGGTCTAACAGGTGACGGCCACTCCTGTTGCTTCGGGGAGTTATCCTGCTGCCACGGCTTTACAGGCACAGAGGATTTGGAAAGATCTTCCTCTGGACACTTTGTACAGTACCCAGGGGAACTCCCGAGACGAAATGATCCGCATCCCGCCAAACGTGCTGCTAGGTTCCGCTCCTGCGGCAGCACCAACAGGAGGGCACGTCGCAGCCCAGTGTTGTCCCCCAGACTCCTTTTTACCGTGCCAGGATGGGGAGAGCTGAGCCCTGCTCTCCCCCAGGCCCCGGCAAGTTCCAGAGCTCCCCCGTGAGAGCTCCGCATACCTCACTGACAGGCACAGACCTGCAGAACCACAGGACAGAACGGCCACACGTGAAGAGAGGCCGCAGGTTTAAGGCGCGGAAGAACCATTCAGGTGAGACAACAGAAACAAAACCACCAGACCTCGAGGGTGGGAAAGCCTGGCCCGATTCCCTCTTCACAACAGGGGAATGTCTGCTGGGAGTGACGAGGGTAGAGTCGGGCCTGCCCTGGGCTGTCCCAGCAAGGCTGTTCCTGGGCGACTGCAGCCCTGCTCGGCCTGCTGGCTCTTTTCCCTCTTGGACACCTCGCAGATCCTGCGGCTTGGAGAGAAAGCTGAGCTGTTTCACTAGGACACCTGGAGCCTGCTCCCAGCAAGGTGCTGCCCCCGCAGCAAGAAGGATGCTGTTTTTCTTCTACAGGCTAATAAAAAGGGTATTTTTCTCCTCACTAACACCAGGGATGGAGTCAGCGCTGATTCCATTCTACTTTTCGAAACCAGACCCGTTTTAAACTCTCGGTAACACGTGGTGACCCGCACCGGAATGAACTTAGCGTGCCCTCGGTGTCTGCCGCGCGCAGCAGCAGCTGGCTGGGACCTCACAGCGTTTGTTTACATTCTTCCAGCGATCTTAAAAGATGTGGAATATGTAATGTTGATCATTGACATGGAAAGCTCATGGTTCAATTCAAATGCGGAGCCCTTGCCCCAAACACAGTGCCTACAAAGAAACACACAAATCTTGGCAATCTGAAAGCAGAGACTTGTAGAAAGAAAGAGGACAAAAAAAAATGGGCTCAATACTAATAATTCATTAGCAGCTACAGTTTGAGGAAACTGTTTATTTCACCAGGTGCTAGTGGCTACAAACCATTTCCTAAGTTCCTCCATAAATCGGCCATGTAACTTTTTGGGGAGGGAATTAAAAAGGAGGCACAACTGTGGGCAGCCTGGAACCCAGAAGTAGCCACGTTCACCTCAGCCAGCTTTTGTGCAGCAGGAACCTGGCAGAGGCATAACATCTCCAAGACAGAGGAGCAACAGAGCTAAAACTTGGGACATGCAGTGGGTTATACTTTGAGCAGCCCCCAGAGATACTTAAGGTGTTTATTATAGAAGTCTGGAGGGATGTAAAAGTACCTGGGAGTGAAGGGGAGTGATGCCGCCAGCTGGAAGTTGCTGTTTGTAAGGAAAGACAGACCAGAAGTTGGCCTGGAGCCGCCCACTGCCACTGGCAGGCAGTTCCGCAGCGCAGGCGTGGGGCAGAGTTCAGAGAAAAGCCAGGCAGCCAACATCCGAGTCGGGCGAGGGATGTCCCTCGCAGTCCAGTGGTGGATCACGTGGGACGGCACACAGAGACAAAAGGGAGGGATGTGGCAGGAGGATGAGCTATCAGGGAGAACAAATGGCTGCACTAGGATTTGCTCTTCCTGTGGAAGAGGAAGGTGAGGGAGACGCGTGACACGTGTCTCATCTGGGCTGCTCTTCTGATGGTTAAAATGTGTCTGGCCAGGGCTGAGATGGCCCATGCCACATCCCAGCCCTTCTGCTTACTTCAGCAAAGGGTGAATCCCAGGGAACGCGAGGATTTTAGTGCAAGGGAGCAGGTTGGCTGACCTGAGCTGCATCGTGCAAATCCACAGTCCTTAACACTACAAGGTATTACGCAACGTTGCATACAAGAAATTAGCACTATGCAAAGTCTGCGGTGCAAAAAAAATAAAAATTAAAAAAACCCCAGCCACTTAGATCTCCAACATCTTAATAAATTACTGAAAAGCTCTGTAAACAAAAAAGCTTTTAAGGAAATGTGTGCCTCATGTACCTTGGCTGAAGAAAACAAAACCACAGTGTAGCATAAACCAGCAGATACTACTCTTGGGTTTTGAACAGTCAGCATTCCAACCCTGTAAGATACATTACAGCATCTTCTTCACACCAACGGGAACTCCAACCTGCTTTGTGTGCCAGAGAAACAGCACTGCTGCCCTCCTGAGAGGCACACGCAGAGGCTGGCACATGAGTTACCACCGCCAAGCGCGTCTGCATCAGTTTCCTTTGGCGAATGCAGACACGGGGTCTTTTCAGAGTTCAAGGCGTTTGTAGTCCCAGACTCATCCCAAATCTCTGGTAAGAAGGAGGTGTCCTCTACTAACCCACTGCCTCAGCAGGCCTGAGGTGTTTTAGGTGTTGGCAAAACACTTTCCTCCTCTGATATGGCACCTGTGGCTGAGCTGGAAGACCCAGAAGCAGCCTGGAACTCCACTCTACCGTTTACGATGCCGTCATCTGTCCACCTCTTAATTGCTTCCCTCTGCTCCTCAGGGGTCAGTCTGTCAAGGTGCTTGGCTCTCAACACCGGAGATGGAAAGAGCGTTCCTTGGAGAACTCGCAGCAAGTACCTACAAAATAAACACCATTTCAAATAAGCTGTTTAGAAGCAGACTCAAAACTGTTCCCAGCAACACTAAAGGAAACTGAACACCATTTGAGTAACTCTGAGGCTGCAGCAGCTTCTGCAACAGTTTGTGCAGGTGCTGCTTTGTGAACATGAACTGTAAGGCAACTGCACCAGGACATGTCTGGAAACAGGCATTTTCAAAGACAGACACTGATCTCAGGTGACTACATTTTTCTGTCCTACGCGTGGAAGAAAAGGCTCTACTGTCACCACCTGAAGCTGAGCTGAGAGCAGGGACTGGGAGGGAAGAGCAGGGACGGGGAGGGAAGAGCAGGGATTGGGAGGGAAGAGCAGACACGGGGAGGGAAGAGCAGGGACGGGGAGGGAAGAGCAGACACGTTTCTTGCATGGTTTGTCCTGCTGCTGAACTGAAGCGTGAACCAAAGCTGTCAGACATGGTCTCCGGTCACAGAAGCACAGTACTTCTACATGCAGTACATGTTCAACTTCGGCCACTAATTTAATTGATCTGTATATAAATTATATACTCTGTGGTTACAGAGGTTACTGTTTTTTCCCCTCAAAGACAGTACTTAATATAATATGAATAACTTAATATAAAACACAAAAACCGCTTTTTATTTACTGGGAGATTTATAGCATCGCTGACTCAAAGGAAACTCATTCTGTTAACGGCGGCAGCGTGCAATGAGAAGAGAGAAACGCACCTGGGTAGCAGGGCAACACACGTAGTCAGGAGGCAAACGAAGTAAAACACCGGGTCTGTCATGTGCTTTTCCATGATCCAGTAAGGATTTGATGGTGGGTTGTGGGTTTTGCAGGTTGCCCCAAAAGCCAGAGCGAAGATGAAGTACAACAGGATGCTGCCAACTGTAACAACTGTATGTATCCAAGTCTGCAATTCAGAAAAAGAAAGAAATCACAGACTGGTTTGGGTTGGAAGGGACCTTAAAGGTCATCTAGCTCCAACCCCTCTGCCATGGGCAGGGACACCTTCCACTAGACCAGGTTGCTCAAAGCCACATCCAGCCTGGCCTTGAACACTTCCAGGGATGCCTCAGGTGACCTCACCCACCAGCAGCAGAGACAGCCGTCTCAAGCAAACTGGAGACGAGATCCTCCCGTGACACCACCCTTCCACACCTTGCCTGAGACATCGATAAACTGTTCTGCATCGGTGTTTTCTGTAATTTCATAACTGAACGGCTATAATAGTTACTATGGAAACAACACTGCCACGGGTCTGACAGCTTGCTGACATTCAAAAATCCCAACTAAAACCCATTTAAGTAATGTTTTCCTATTCAGAGCGTAGATACACTCACGCTGCTCATATATTCTCAATAAAGACATTTTTATGCTGCCATGCTCCCGAAAGAACAATGAAACGACTTCATCCCAATTTGAAATTTCATCCATTATGAAACAATCCTAAAAAATATTTTTCAAAAAAATGACAGAGAAAAAATAAAACCCACTAATCCGTATCCTTCTACTGTAAATATTATTGCATGTTCTTTAAAATTACGCAAAACAGCCAAGTATTACCCTTGTAAAGGCTGTGAATTTCTCCAAGCCAATGTAGATGCTTTAGCTTGTGCAGACCTAATTAAAAATAGTGTATCGCTTCTCTAGGCCTGGCACCAAGATGTCTCTCTGAAGTGTTTACCCCGGACACAGGGCAGATCATCAGTTCCAAGCATTCAGAATCAACAGTTCACATTGTTGTCTCTGAGATGCAAGCTTTGGGAACTGAGGCAGGCTCAGGAGATCACTGGTTGGTTTTGCCATGTGCAAAACTAAAGTAATGAGGCAAGAGAAGAGAAGGGTCCGGGGAGACCTTATAGCACCTTCCAGTACCTGAAGGGGCTACAAGGAAGCTGGGGGGGACTTTTTCCAAGGGCCTGTAGTGACAGGACAAGGGGTAATGGGTTTAAATTGAAAGTGGGGAGGTTTAGATGGGATATCAGGAAGAAGTTCTTCCCGGAGAGGGTGGTGAGGCACTGGAACAGGTTGCCCAGAGATGTTGTGGATGCCCCATCCCTGGAAGTGTCCAAGGCCAGGCTGGATGAGGCTTTGAGCAACCTGGTCTAGTGGAAGGTGTCCCTGCCCATGGCAGGGGGGTTGGAACTAGATGGTCTTTAAGGTCCCTTCCATTCTATGATTCACTCTTCACAAATAATTCTGTGGCCAAATTTTGTTAATTCTAGCCATATGTGTAATTCTGCTGGCTCCAATGACAGGTGCAGCAGGAGAGCTCACAGGGTCACATAAACAAAATACTTAGTTTTGGCTCCTTTATACTTACTCAGTTTTGTATACGAAACTCTTCCTTCCGTTTACTCTTCATGAAAGCTGTATGCACATGCCCTGTGAGGAATATACTCCTTTGGAAACAAAATACTCACCACAGACTTGCACTCAATGAGAAGGTGAAACAGTATGACGAAGAGCGCTGCTGTGTTTATGGGGTTCCCAAAAGAAAAAATGTCTATGTCTGAGCCGCAGTAAGTCTGTAAAAGAAGACGGGGTCAGTGTAATATATTCTTTACGCATAGTTCAAACACGCCAAGTGGTGTGAACAGTTTCAATACAGTAGGTGTTTGCATGCACAGAGTTCAACTCAGTTCCAGTGATGAGTCTGTTCGTACACATTTACCTATGACGAAGGAAAAATGAAACACCTCATTTTATTCTCTAATGTGAATGTGGGTTTAGTTTGCCAAAATATATAAATGTATTTCGTATCCAGCACTTACAAAGTAAGGCACGAAAAAGCAAATGAGACTTTGGTAGAAAGCATCCAGCAAAGTTATCCAGAAAGTTGAAGGCAAGTAAGCCTGTAAGAAAAAAAAGAGAATGTCATTGAAACAAATTTAACAAATTGCTGCATCCTTAATTAGCATTAATGTAGATGTGTGGAAAGATTATCTGCAGAAGTAATTCCAGTTAGTTTCTCAATGAAGAGGCACCTTTGCTGTTATGATAATAATAAAGAGCCCACACAAGTAGCTAACTTCTACACGAGCCGGCCGTGTGCGCTGGCAGCCAAGAAAGCCAACCATATCCTGGGCTGTATCCAGAGAAGTGTGGCCAGCAGGTCGAGGGAGGGGATTCTGCCCCTCTGCTCTGCTCTGGTGAGACCCCACCTGGAGTGCTGCGTCCAGCTGTGGAGCCCTCAACATCAGAAGGATATAGACCGGTTGGAGCGAGTCCAGAAGAGGCTCAGGGGAATGGAACACCTCTGCTATGGGGACAGGCTGAGAGAGTTGGGCTTGTTCAGCCTGGAGAAGAGAAGGCTCCGGGAGACCTTATTGCAGCCTTCCAGTACCTGAAGGGGCTACAAGGAAGCTGGGGGGGACTTCTACCAGGGCCTGTAGTGACAGGACAAGGGGTAACGGGTTTAAATTGAAAGTGGGGAGGTTTAGATTGGGTATCAGGAAGAAGTTCTTCCCAGAGAGGGTGGTGAGGCACTGGAACAGGTTGCCCAGAGAAGCTGTGGATGCCCCATCCCTGGAAGTGTTCAAGGCCAGGCTGGATGAGGCTTGGAGCAACCTGGTCTAGTGGAAGGTGTCCCTGCCCATGGCAGGGGAGTTGGAACTGGATGGTCTTTAAGGTCCCTTCCAACCCAAACCATTCTATGATTCTACGATTCTATAACTCCAACCCCAGAGCAAGGCAATGCTGTGCTAGACAAAAGGGGAAAAGTCTGGCAAAAGTTAAGGAAAAAAAAAAGAGGAGGAAAGAGAAAAACTGTTGTGTAATGCAGTAATTCTGATTATGTTGCCTCAAAACCTTCATCTCAGCTCAGATCACCATACATATCCTGAAAATCAAAACAAATCAAGGCCAAATTCTCAGGCCTTGTAACATTTACATATTGAAAATTCTGTGTGAGTGACAAAGCACAGACCTGCTCCAGCCAGTCTAGAGAGGATCCGACCAGTACCAAAAGAGTAGTTGGTTTTGGAAAACTACTGTAAACCAAGCAACATAAAACATTTAAGGGCATGTAAAAAGAAATGTGAAAGTCCACAAACAAACAAAACAACTTGTCCCCTCACTGTATATCTTTCTTTCCCTTCTAAACCAGACGTAGGCTTCCGCCAGGTTACACAGATGAGACTGCCCGACTGGTGCACATGTTGTAACTCATTTTTTTTTAAATAGTATTTGTTAATACAGAATGGAATATTTCAGTCAGTAGGGACCTACAATGCTCATCTAGTCCAACTGCCTGACCAATTCAGGACTGAACATGTTAAAGTCTGTTATTAAGGGCATTGTCCAAACGCCTCTAACACTGACAGGCTTGGGGCATCTACCGCCTCTCTAGGAAGGCTGGTCCCGGGACTGAACATGTTAAAGTCTGTTATTAAGGGCATTGTCCAAACGCCTCTAACACTGACAGGCTTGGGGCATCTACCGCCTCTCTAGGAAGCCTGTTCCAGTGTTTGACCACCCCCTCTGTAAAGAAATGCTTCCAATGTCCAGCGTGTTATTGAAAGGCTATGATCATAAAGAAAATGGTGACTCATTTGCTCAATGTTTCCTGTCTCCAGGCTACAAGTATCTGTTCTGTCTCAGGCTCAGTATGTCACTGCCTTCCATTGTTATAATAAAAATATTATTGTTAAATTAAAAAAAAAGTTAAAATGATGCTAGGACTCATGCTAAGCAAAGCAGAAACCAGGAAAAAGCTTACTGATTTATAGAATTTTGATTTAGAAACTACCCCCTGCTGCCTCTGCTTTTCTGTGCTAAATGTTTGACAGAATTCACTTATGGAGCCAATACGATGTACAGTGGTTTCACATGGGAGAAAAGTGTCACTAGCAAATTCCAGAACATATCCATAAGAGGAAAAGAACCCTGAATGACAGAACTTTCTTCAGGATTACTTGAAAGGAATCTGCTCTGGCTCTTATCCACTCCTCATTACTTTGTCACATTTGATAGTGAATCATAGAATCATAGACTGGTTCGGGTTGGAAGGGACCTTAAAGACCATCCAGTTCCACCCCCCCTGCCATGGGCAGGGACACCTTCCACTAGACCAGGTTGCTCCACGCCTCATCCAGCCTGGCCTTGAACACTTCCAGGGATGGGGCATCCACAGCTTCTCTGGGCAACCTGTTCCAGTGCCTCCCCACCCTCTCTGGGAAGAACTTCTTCCTGATACCCAATCTAATCCTCCCCACTTTCAATTTAAACCCGTTACCCCTTGTCCTGTCACTACAGGCCCTTGTAAAAAGCCCCCCCCAGCGTCCTTGTAGCCCCTTCAGGTACCGGAAGGCTGCAATAAGGTCTCCCGGAGCCTTCTCTTCTCCAGGCTGAACAAGCCCAACTCTCTCAGCCTGTCCCCATAGCAGAGGGGCTCCAGCCCTCTGAGCATCTTCGTGGCCCAAGTGAAGACAGTATCTAGTGCCCTTATCATTCAAGGTAAGCCCAGACGCTCTAAAGAAGCCCATTTCGAGGAAGCATGTTGACAGCTGAGGCAGTGAAGGAAGTGAACGTGCTGAGAACAATGTTTATCTAGTACACTGCTTTGTCTCAAGTCATTAACTTCTCTTATCACCCAAATGTCTGATAAGATTGGGTGTACGACTGAAAAGAACCTGAAGAGGCTGAAAAAGAAGCTTTTATTTGTGTACACATTGCACAGGCCTAGATGTTTTTCTAATAGAGAAAGTGGTTTTTAACTTCATGGTTGTCTGATGTGACCCACGAAGGAATAAGACAGAAATGGCTCAGATGCTGACCGTTTCAACTTACTTCAGGCCAAGCATTCTTTAACCTACCACAGATTTCTGGTTCGTCATGTAGAGCTGTGGGAGCTGCATGAGTATCTCCGCAGACACATCTTTGTCCAAGACACCATAAATGATGGGTGGCACCGACGTAAAAAGGAGATTGAAAAGAATCAAGGTCCAGTAGTCAGTCATCGATGTGCCTGAAAACCCACAGAAGAACTGGTACCAGAACAGGAGGTTCACATAGGCCTGCAAAGTCAAAGATGACATGATAAAACATTACCCATGGACAAGTGTTTTAAAAGCCAGGAGGAAAACAGGCAGATCTTGGGTCTGGTGACAGTAATCTGGGGAAAATTAAGTATAAATGCTGTGGAGTTCATGCCAATCCCGCACTTTGAAATTATAGCTGACTACCACACAGCTTTACATATTAAAATTGGACACAACTTGTTTAAACAGTCATGCTGCCACCACATAAGTAATGCCCGTTACCCACTGTTTAATCAAATCAGACAATGGCTTTGAGTGTGAAATTCAATCCAAGGAATAAGAGTCTCTGGTCTCTGCAGACATAAATGGGAAATGGAATTGTCTGACATATGGTTTTTTGTGTCTTTTTGAACCCTTCACAATAGAAACTAAACAAGAATATAAAGCCCCACTAAACCCTTCAGCGCTCTCAGAACACAAACTGTGATTTCCCTGGGATGGGACAGCTACGTACCACGTTCTTGTAGAAGAAGTAAAGCACCATGTTGGTAAGTCTAGTGTAACACCAGTGACCGTGGACAAGCAGCAGCTTCCTGAGGTGTCTAAACTGTGAGATGGCAAAGTCACTTGCCATCACAGCCTGCAATGCACAGGAAGGAAAGGGTATGTTACATCCAAACGGTTAAAGCTGCAGATACTGCCAAGTGAGCAACTTAGCTACCACTGGAAAATCTTATTTTATGAGATTTTTATACACTGTGCTTACGGTCTTAACCTCTCTCAGATCTGATCCCCTCCATACCACATTTTACACTAACACAGCTCAGCCCAGGCAGGATGGGCAGGAACACGTCTGTCTGTATTTCCACCACACAACTGCACAGAAATCACTCAGCTGCCTGTATCCTGGTAGGACAGGAGTGATAGGGAGTTGGGTGACAGGCAGCAAGCTCTGCTGTTTGGAGTCTGAAACTCTGCAGTATTCTGCTTCTGAGGGCTCCTGGAAAGTGCTAAGGCCTGGTTGTGAGCTCAGGCTGCCTTGCCCACACACGGTAATGGACTGTGGAGCCACCAAGCCTCTCCAGGGTAAACTCTGAATGGATTTAAAACGGAATCTGATGTCATCTGCAGCTGTCGCTGCACACTCTACCTGCATGCCTTCTTGGCCCGATATCCCCACACCAGTGTCAGCCACCTGGATCATGCTGACATCATTGGCACCGTCACCTGCAGCGAAAAGGAAAAAGAAAAATCAAAACTAACCTTTCCTATGTGGGATGCAACCCGGAGGTGCTTTGCTGGCTATCACATTGTCATGGAGGTGGCAGGAAAAGACAAATATACAAGAACACCAGAGAGGTCAGAGAAAAACATTTCTATGGTCAAGAGTGCAGCCTATGGAAAGCCCCACAGAAAGCAGGATGAGTGAGCGGAAGGCCAGGCTGAACTGAGCTGTATTCTCCAAATGGGTATTATGGGTATTAGCTGTGCCTTTAGTCAGAATGTAATTGGTATGCTGGAACAGGAGAAACAGGTGTTTTAAATCACAGCCAGTCATCTCCCCTCTCCCTATTTTGGGGGGCTGTGATGGAGAATGACATGGAAAACCCCCTTACTTGCCCCTCTGGGCATGTTACATAAGGCTGTGCAGGACTGCTACTGTTTGTTGCTTTAGATTACCACAAGTAAGTTTATGGAATAAATTCTCTAGTGCAGAAGACTGACATCATCTTAAGCCAGAGATGACTATGATTCAAAGGATTATCTTTCCTTGTAAAATAAATTTTGTGACAGAACTTAACAAAAATACAGGAGAGAAGAAACTGGCTTCTCCTTCTTTTCACAGGAAAGGAGATAATCAGAGGACTCACCTACAGCTAACGTCATTGCCTTTAGCTTGTTTCGCACCAGTCTGACCAGGACACTCTTCTGCAGTGGTGTGGCTCGGCAACAGACTACAGCCCGACATCTTTCTGTGAGTTCCAAGAAAATATTCTGTAGGCTGTCATGAAGGACATGCTCTAAAGTCCTTCCATCAATAACCAGGCCTGCACTGAACCCTGGAGCTTGGGTGGAGGGACTTGCAGAGACATTCCAAAGTTTCTCACTGGGGTTTTTTTTGGCAGAATTATTCTTCTGGATGCCTTCTAAAATTTTGCTCATCACCATGGCACAGGCATCCTAATTAAAGACAAGAGAAAGGCAACTTATTAAATACTGTTTGTGTTCTGGCTCCCTTTTCAATTTATAAAATACATATGGAGAAAAGTGCTGCCCTTGAGTAGCATTTCACTTGAATCCAGAAAGGCTCAGACACGAGGTTGAATAACCCTTTAAAATCACAAAGGATGCAGTCTGTTGTTGATAAAAGGGCCTGTGATTTAACTTTGCCTAAGTAGATCGGCTTGGGTCTTGTACTAGGAGAAGAGAAAAAACCAGAAGCAAATCAGAAAATGTTCACAGACGAGCAGAAAAAAACATCATTAAGGATTCTGTAATATACACACAGCTTTGAGAGAAGACTTCTGCTCTCCACGTTTCTTTCGTCTGGTGTGAAGTACATTTCAATCAGATTATAGGTGAGCTGCAATAAATTACTGGAGAACTGGCCTTGTGGATTATTTTTACCTTGTCAGAATCAAAATACGATGTCCAAAAGATTCTTGATATCAATATATGAAATGCACATGCTATACAGAAGAAAATACATATTCTTAAATGTTCTAATTTTGAAAGGCAAAGGTATCAAATCCTGCCTATTTTTTACTTCAAAGCCCAGTTAGAGGGAAGATGAGAACTTCTGCAAGAGGGGCTCAGTTCTCACTGTTACGTAACACGCTTGTTCACCAGTAGGTAAAAAGGAAGAAAAAAGTGTTAGTGGAAAATCAAACCCCAAGCTTTCCTCAAACCCAACTGGGCTAAAACTACTTCTTTTTTCACTTTATTTTCCCCACAGTTACCACCTGAAACATAATCTTTTATGGCAGATACAAACTGAACTTCTAAAGTAACATATAAGCAGAGAAAAAAATTAAAATGAAAGCTTTAAAGGACTGGAGGAAAAATCCTCCAGTCCTTTAGAGAAGTCTCAGATTTCAGGTCTCTGCTCTGAGGGGAGACGCTTCATACGTTGGCTTTACCAGTTACAGCTTGTGATTTCTGTTTTAAGAAAGCCAGAGCTGATAAAAACTGAGATTTGAGAAACAGCTGGTTGTACGCATCCACAAGAGGACACAACAACCAAGTAGGATTAAATTTGGCACCCAAAGCAGCAGTGTTCTTAGCCATGCTGTATCACACAGCTCAGTTACTGGGTGGTAGGGAGAAGGTGGCTTTTTCTCTGATAAAACTGTTGGCAGAGTAGTTTTCTTGAGCAGTGTGCAATGTACTTTAATGAGACAATTCTTCGTACGTTTATGCAAGACAAGCAGGGCTGAGGGAATATATTACACAAAGCGGCACAAAACTTAATTCAATAGAATTTGCATGACAATAATTCTTACATTGCTAACATGCTGTAGCTCACAGCCATTTGAAATCTCATGTGAAGCACGTCAACTCTCTAACCTACCACAAAGAGAAATTAAGCAGTCTATTCAATTAAAATAATTAATCATCATTAGGAACATATATAAAGAAACAGATGTCACATACACATAAAGGATTTCATGTTTTACCCACAAGGAAGCAAAGCGTCATTTTTCCAGTATTTTCATCTTCCAACAAATGATGCCGGTTTTGGTTGGCTGAGAAAGCAGGGAACATTTTATTTTTTCATATTCTTCAAACAAAATTTGAAGAAAAGTGTAATTTTCCACTCACCCTACTCTGTGATTTGAGAGTGAAGATTCTGTCATCCGGTTCCAGCAGTTTACAAGCGTAGGCAATGTTGACAGCTGTCTCCCTCTTGTCACCTGTCAGCATCCATATTTTTATTCCCGCTTTCCGTAGTGCCTGTATTGTTTCCGGAACACCCTCCTGCAGGCGATCTTCAATGCCAGTGGCACCTTAATGTTGACAAGCAGACGGATTAGTGTTGCTCTATTTCCAAATCCAAAATGCTGCAAGAGTGACAGGACAGGATGGTCCTCTGTGTGCATCCGCAGCCCAAACCAGACATGCTGCTGGGACATACATGGGAATTCCTCCCTTCCTCATCTTTCTGTCCCAGAGCCCAACATGTGAGATTGTTGACACAGGGACCTCCAGCTCTTCACAAGACCCTTTTAAGCCAACTTTTCTCATTCTCATGGTTGTTTCATCCCATAGTAGCTGTGTGACACAGACCTCCAGACTTCTCATGACAAATATATTCCACTATTCCCACTCCCTCCTACTTCAGACTACACCAAACCTTCTGTCGTGTATCACCTTGATCCTTCTTATCTCAAGGCCCACTTCTCTTCCTTATTCTCAATGCTGCTCAGGGCTGAATTCTCTGTACCTCTTGACCCAAGCCCTCACCTTTTCCACCTCAAAATCTCTGCTTCTTATAGTTCTGCACACTGCTGTGAAGACCTGCCATCCATCATCAGGTTTCTCAGCTACTCATCACTCAATTCACAGCACTAAACTCTGTGTTTTGCCATTCCTCCTGCCCACACTTGACATACTGCCCCACAGGGAGGAAACACATGCTCTAGCACACACTCCTTAGTGCTTATAGAAACATTTTCAACAAAAAATACAGACACTTTAACACAGATATTCTCTTTTCTGGTGTGCACAGCAGGCAGACTTGTGTCCCTAAAACCAGCTTACAAAATCTTCTGTTCAGTAGGTAACACAACATCAGCATAAAGCTGAACTATCTCTGAAAAGCTGCAGGGCCAGTGATTTGCTACAGTACAGGACATTTCCAAAGCCTTTTCACAAGACAAATGGTACTAAATCATAACCAGGAGACATGGTTCGGCTTGTGGGATTCTTAGGCTAAGAGTTTCTCAGAAAGAAACTTCAGCCAATTGCAGCTAGGTTCACGCAGAAAGGCAAACAATACACAAATTCAAAGCAAAGTGTTCCCTCCTAGCATGTTTCTAGTGTGGGACTCCAGCCAGCAATTTGTATATAAAGCATTGACTGTCATGTGGGGATGGGTAAGAGGCAAAAGGTCAGACAGATTTCTTATGCTACAAGCAATTTCTTCAGCAAGGAGCTGCCAACAGGCCACAGAGCTCATGGCCCTTGGTCACTGGGAAGATGAAAACCTCCGAGTCCTTGCTGTGCATTTTGATGCAAGTCAACAAAAGAGGCAGAAGGAAGATGCTGGGATCAGGTTCTTTGAGAGACACCACCAGGCATGGAGGGAAGAGAGAAAAATGTTACAGCTTGGGCACTCTATAAATTCAACACTCCCTGGGCTGGTTTTGGCTGACCCAGAGTTAATTTTCTTCATAGTAGCTAGTATGAGACTATCTTCTGGATTCGTGCTGAGAAGAATGTCAGTAACACTGATGTTTTAGTCGTTGCTAAGCAATGTTTACATTAAGCCACGGAGTTTTCAGTTTCTAATACTGTCCCTGTTCTGCCAGCTTCCTCTCTACAAGAATATGGGAGGAGACATAGCCAGGACAGCTGACTCAAACTGACCAAAAGGATATTTCATGCCATAAGGCATCTTGCTCAGTATATAAGCTGAGGGAAGTTGGGTGAGGGGGCATCACTGCTCGGAGATGGGCTATCAGTCATGGGGTGGTCAGCAATTGTTGCACTGTGCATCACTTGTTTTTGTATATTCCTTTATCAGTAATATTATTGTTGTTATTATTTCCTCTCCCTTTGCTGTCCTATTAAACTCTTTGTATCTCAACCCACAAGATCCTTCCCAATTCTCTCTCCTATCCCATCTTGGAGAGGGTGGTGAGCAAGTGCCTGTGTGGTGCTTAGTTGCTGGCTGGGGCTAAACCACAACACCCCTCTTCTCAGGTTCTTAATCACTTTGTAACCCAACAGCAGCCAGTTTCGCTCTGTATGCTGCTGAGATCCACATCTGTGCTCAGTTGAGTACGGTACATTAGGACTGTTCTTTCCAGAAACAGATGTCCATTCAAACAAAAGGCTTGAGACTTTATACACAGCCATATGGATCTCATACCTGCCTACGCAGTGGACTACAAACCACTGCTGTACTCCACGATCCTGGCAATACTGAAATGGTCTCGGATCTCCACAGCAATTAGACTTTGCTGACTCTAGTGCAAAGGGTACCTGTATAACACATCATCCCTTAAAACTACAGCAGTTAGCAGCACTGCTCTGGCTTCTCTCCATAAACTGCAGCCAGTAATCCCAGAATTCCTTTTAGTATCAAGGTTTATGGCATTTGCCCAGAGCACATCTGGCACAAAATGAGGAAAATAACACCTTTCCACACAATAGGATCTGCCTCTCTTCAGCTTCTAGCATGAGCCACCTTTACCATCACAGTCAGATCTTTGCACTGTGTTTTCCAAATGTTATTTGCTGTGCAGTCCCCTAGAGCTACTATCCCAGACTGCCTGCAGTTTACCTTTCACACGTCTACACCAAGTGCTTTTAATTTTGTTTTAGCCTCCCCCTTTCTGCCCAGCTGAATAACGACCAGAGAAATGCTTCTTGCAGAAGCATGTCTGACTTCTTATCTCCGTGTTATTACAGGAGGACACAGCACACACATACCTGCCAGGCCACAAATGCAACAGGAATGGAAAACATGCCCAGAAGTGGGATCCCTGTGAATGTTTGCCCAGGCGTGCCTGTGATGTGCTATTATTTCACATGTTTAGTATGATGACACTTAAAAACTCTAGTGAGCACAAGAAAGGAACCCAATAAAAAAAACCCAACATAGTAAAACTTTACCCTTTAGAAACAACTGAAGAGCATTAGCTCTCTTTTGTGTGTTTTACAACTAGTACAAACTCACCAGCAAGACAAGAACATTCAGGAGTGACACTAAATTCGAAGTCTGCAGAAAGCTATGTTACACAAACGGATGATAGCACAGTAAATTCTAATTATGCACATCATAAGCAGTTTCCCGGGAGTTACAGCATTTTCTACCTACCGAGCAAAGTCAGTTCAGTCTCAAGCCTGATGGCAGATTCAAGCAGCATCTCCTCCCTATTGTCAATACTGGTTTCCGCTAAAAAATGATGATTTAACCACTCGGCATATTCTGTGTCGCTCATCACCTACAGAGGGAGAGAAAACACATGGCATGTATCTATTTTGTGTTTTCAAAGGTGCCTCAAAAGTGTCCTCACAGTTACTTCTGCTGTCCCCATACTGATCCTATAAGTGCAGCCCCCTAGTCAGCAATGCTTACCTCCCCCAACACCTTCATGGATTTAGTCCGATGTTCACAGTGTTAATTACTTTGCCAGGTTTCACCGGCACCCTGCAGGTTCCTGGAGCTGCCTGCCAGATTTCCATTCAGACAGACGGCAGGCTGGCCAACGAGCACTGCATACTCTCCCTACTGCTCTTTCATTGCAGCACTGACACAGCCACAGCATCACTGCACAACTACGTACAGCTCGACAGACTTACAGCTACACAGCCTGTCCTTTCACTTCGCGTAAGGCTTTGTGAAGAGGTTTCTTGCCTGTTTCAACCCCTATGGAATTTTACTTCTGAGCAGGTTTGAATTTAAAACAGAATCTCAAAACGTCATTTAAGTTTTGCATCCAGAGCTTGTAACACTGCAAACTGTGAAATCCAATAAAACAGGCCTGACTTCATTTGTTTTCTGTGTCTGGAATTCCAACCCGGGTGAGTTTGACACAAGGAGACCTACTCAGGACTCCTGAACCAAAATCAAGCTATTTGACAACCCCTGTTTTAGAATTAGGCTATTAAGCTGTCCTAAACCAACAACTATGGCAATCTAATGGAAGTCAGGAATTGATTTGGGTCAACTTAAAATTACTCCTGGAATAATATAAGGATAAACAAAATGTGGCAACTGAAACATCTGCTTAGAAGTGGTGATGTCTGCTCCACTGGTGATACCACTCACGTCAGTCGCAGACTGTAAATATTCTTAAAAACACGTATTAAAAGGAATACCTTCTTAGCAACACAGAGAGTGCGCAGTCCTCTTCTGGCATAGTCATCCAAATGCTTCTGAGTTCTTTCTTTAATCTTCTTTTGTTCAATTTCTGAATTATTAGTACCTACTATCACACAAAAAGCAAAGCAAGTGAATTAAATATGCATTCTTAGGCTAAATTTAGTGGAAAATTTGAAGCTCCAAATATGTTTTAAAATACCAAAATGTGAACAGGTTTTATTTTAACTATGAACGTGTCTTCACGCTTGCACAGTGCACTGTGCCTGTATCTACAGTGAGCACGCAGTGCGCCAGCCTGCACGAGCAGTGAAGGGGAACCCATCTGGTACTGATACATCGTCGGATGCCACTAGTATAACAAAATGTTTTTCTCAAATAAACTGATTTTTTAAACTGAACTGGGCCACAGACACCCAAGCAACTTTACTGCCACCGGTCTAGTGGGAGGGATCTAAAAAGGCAGTTGCAGAAAAGCTTTCTTAAAAATAACCAGTAAGAGGTGGACTATTCGGACAGGCAAGCCTTTACAAATAATTCCTTTAAATCACTTTCCAAACCATTAAAAAAATCTCCCTTGGAACATCTTCTGAACATAAATCTATTTAGGTATTTATTTCTAACTGTCATGGTTTAACCCCAGTCAGCAACTAAGCACCGCACAGACACTCACTAGGAAGACAACTCTTAGCCAACACCAGCACACTAACATGTAAAGATAATACTTTCTTTTTACTGCCTTCAGTTTGCACAGACACTCACTAGGAAGACAATTAACTCTTGGCCAACACCAGCACACTAACATGTACAGATATACTTTCTTTTTACTGCCTTCAGTTAAAAATCAGTGACTGTTTGCTATGGTGTACGAATAAATCAGCTACTGCTTAAACAACACGGTGCATCCCTCCTGTGGCAGATGCAAATAAATGTTTACCCCCAAACCCAGGGCCCAGTAGGAGGCATCACACAACCTTACAGATATTATTAATCACCTAGAAACACAGAAATAGTCAGAAGGCAAGAGAAAAAAACCTCAAAAAGCACTGATAGGTGACATCTGCTATGGATACCTCTCTCCAAAAGGTCAGAAACACTAACACAGGTGAAGGCTAGAAAGTATCTCACTCCAGTAAGCACCTCTCACTGCGTGGCAAAAGCCAACTATGCAAGCAGATGACCTTATTTTATAACTGGAAATACCTCAGTTGGCTCCACAGGGTCTGCTTAGACACCACTAAATCCTTTGAATAACAGCTGCTTCTCAGTTTCCACAGCGGCACTCAGCGCAGCTGTATCTAGGTGACAAGCAGTACTACCTTTCTGGGTCCCCTATAAGGAGCTGTTCAGGGATAACAGTTCTGGGTGGTTACTGGTCCCTTCTGATGTACCAGGCCACCTGTTCAACTCTACTGAAGAATGAGAGGTGAGCAAAGAACGAGAAGTTCCACAGATACCTTCAGACGCAGTTCTCAACAAATCCATCATGACCGAGTCTGCACCTTTGGTGTACACCACCACTTCGTTGGAGACCGGATGCCGAACCACCACTGACATCCTTTTCCGCACTGAATCAAAAGGCAGGATATGCAAAAGCTGAAACGTTAAAGATCCCAGACCTGCAAAGTCCACAGTTACTTGATCCGGAGTCCTAGACTGTAAAATACATCTGTAAGCCCTAGCAGCATGAACCAAGGCAGCTTCATCTGGGCTCTCAGCTTCATAACACAGTTTAGGTAAGGATGCCGCAGCGCTGTTGCATTCACAGCCAGCAGCTACATTCACCACATCTAGTTCTTGAGGCACTTGGGAATTTTCTGGGCTGTCGGTATGGTGAGGCTCAGCTGCCCTTTGGGCGGCTCCATCCCAAGCAGGTGAAGCCATTTTCATTCGGAAAATAGACAGCTTGCTCACAAAACTGTTGGGGCTTTCAGACAACGACTCTTTTACACTTGGAAGTGGGGAGGAACTTTGTCTCCGGACTGACAACCTCTGGAACATCTGCCTGATTTCCTCAAGCGATTTGATAGGCATCCTACCCAGCGAAGAGAATCTCATCTGGAACAGAATAGTTAGAGAAAGCATTTTTGTTAAAATCTTCATATTTGACTACATTAAACAAGGAGGGTTTACAAACTATGTATGGTTCTTAATGAATGTAGTATTTTAACATTTACCATGAGTTTGCTTATATTAAAGACGGCCAGCTCAATTAAACATATAACCATATAGAAGCTGTTTAATGTGCTCGTAAGAGCTTCATTATTCAAACTAAAAGAATTGTACAAATACTTCAGATCTGAAAACTATTTGCATTCCAAGTTTGATTCATGACTCCATATAATACTTCTCTTTAGAAATGTTTCAGTAATGAAACAGTATGACATTATAACTTTTAAATTTGGGGCAAATGGAACTAAACACTTTAATTCTTGTTGTGAATTAGCAAGATGCTTGTGAAGAATAAACCAGCTTCATATCCCTCACACCAACTGCTTACAAGTACTGTTGTTACAGTACCTTATCAATACTTTTTGAGTGTCTGAATTTAAACCAGAATAAAGTTCCCCCTCTCATCAATGTTACAAAATAATTGGCTTACTCTTCCCCAGAAGCGTTAGGCAGCTAATAGGTTACAAACAAGGAACAAGGCATGCAAGGCTGACATTTATTTCTCATAACTGATGAAGAGTTAAGAAGGAGTTATCACCAGGAAGCGTGTTATCCTTTGCCACTGTGCTGGATTCAGCCAGGAA